AGAAAACCCACAAGTAAAATTTCTTAAAAAGAGCCTCGAAATACAAAATTCATTAAACACATAATCCTATATATTTTTCCTCTTCATATATATATTTTTTTCATTGCAATATTTACATTTCCCATATCAACCTCAAAAAGGAGGGAAAAAGAGTACTACAAACCCGTTGTAATCGGTGAATGCTCGCCGTAGAAACCCGAAATTCCGGCGGCGGCCCACAGCCTCTCATTGAACGCCTCTTGCATTTCCTCCGGTATAAACTGCGTCCGGCAGAGTGGACACGTCTTCTGATTGTGGTCCATCCAACGGTCCAGGCAGCTTCGATGGAATATATGTCGGCAATTCGTCAACCGTCGGATCTCATCATCGCCGTTAAACTCGTACAAGCAAACCGCACAGTTTTCGGGTGGATCCAATTCAAGCAAGTCGGAGAACTTCACCACTGGCAGAAGCTTTCGGATCAGCACAGCCGAAACAGACCGGGGCTCCGGCTCAGAATTCGTCCAGGTCGGATACGCCATTTCGGGCTCCAGGAAATCACCTAGGCCCAGCAGAGAAAACACTGCACCAATTGATTTTTGAATCAATCCCATGATTGTTAGAAGGTAAACCAACAGTTTTGGTAGAAAAATATCAGTGTATCCCACCGGAAATCCCATTTAAATCTCCTAGTGAGTTTGTATTTGTGTGGATATTGGTGTTTAGTAGTACTGTTAGTGCGTGTATCGTTAAACTCTTATACAAAGCGAGGGGAGAGATGAAGGGAGAGATGGGGTGGATTATATAGAGTGATAAAAGTATTAAATTACGAAAATAGGTATGAGAATAGATGAAATGACATTTTCAACTTAAGACTTTTATTTTACAACGTGGAATTAAAAATTCTTTTTTTATAAATATTATGTTCTAGTAAGTGCAAATATGTGATGATTAAGGGAATCTATTCATAGCTTGTAGGCTTTATGAAAATTGTAATATAGTCGGTGAAGTTAAGTGGAAACTTAACCGATCAGCTAAAATAAATACTTTATATATAGGTAATATATTGGGTTTGAATTTGATTT